AAAAAAAAATTATTATTATTATTATAATTATTATTATTATTAATATTAATATTAATACTATTATCTTACCAGCTACTGTACACGGAGAAGACAGGCTACTACCTCATCACATGGACAGACTACGGGCTCCAAGTGAAAACAAACCACGAGAAAAAACGAAGAACAGAAATAGAGGGAATCAACGACGGAAATGACCAGGAAACGTTCTGCCTTCTGGACGRTTTGACAGAGGAGATCGAAGTGAATGGAAAGATAATCCCAGTGCTTTCTCCCTCACAATATCGCAAGAGGATTTTAAGTATGCCTCCTACAAGTATCCAAGGTAATTTTAATCGCACTGAACTCTCTTTATCATTCAACTCAAATCTATAACCACCATAGGTCCCTCGCTATCAGTGTTGTCACGCAACGCTTCTTCCCAAGTAGACAGCGCTGCGTGACACTGATAGCGGCTGAGAGGGAGACTATAACCACCTTCGACCCCCTAGTCCTGCTATTCTCAATGCGCATGCTCGACGAAATACTGGAGACATTTCTTCGAACATGCGCAATAATGAAATGGCATTTTAAACCTTGAGCCAATTGTCGAGATTGACTTCTAATTAGTTGATCCAAAAGAGCATAAATATGAGGGAAGCTTTAATTATCGCGCGCGCCTTGTAAATTCCCGGTTGGACTATTTTTAAAAACCGGATGCAGTTTAAATTTTGCCTTACCCTACTCCCCTGCGTCATTAACTTGCACACGCGCGCTCTTTTCGTTTACTCTTTTGATTCGTTTTGATCGGCTAAAAATGAAACGTTGATATTGAGAAGTTTCCCTCTCTTATTTACATGCTCTCTTGGTATCCAAATACAACTGCAATAAATGTTGTGGCACCACTAATATTTTTTAAAATATTTTTTTCTCGTAGGTTTTCCAGTGTGGTTTGGCATGCAAGACCAAAATTCGCCAGCGATCACCTTTCTCACCGAAGAAGTAAAACAACACGGCAAAATCAAAAAGATTACAGTCGTTGATGGTGTGACTTGTATTTGTACGACCAAACATACTCTGGACGATAAGTGGATAAAAGAAAAGGAAAACTCCAGCAAATGGCTGACAAAAGGCTTGTTGTCAAAGCTCCAAGAGAACAAGTCTTTTGTGGTTGCAAAGTCTTGGGAGAAAGACCAGGAAAACCTGTTTTGTTGGCGGATTTCCTTTTCTGTTGTCGAACGACAGTGCATCAAATTACTCCCTCCTGAGCCAAAGATTTGTTTGATCATCTTAAAAGCAATACGAAGGAAATTTCTGAAGGAGCCAAAGTGTTTGGTCACGTATCATCTCAAAACTATTCTATTCTACCATCTAGACAAGGTTGGAAGAGACTGGAAGGCAGAAGAACGAGCTCAGAACATCCTCATCTTGCTAAATGACTTAGCCGAAGCCTTGAAAAGCAAGTCTCTGCCACTTTTCTTTGAACCTGAACTCAACACCCTTGGAGGGATAGAGGAGAAAAGCATTGAAGAATTGGAGACGAAAATCCGTCAGATCCTTGCCTCTCCTGGGGCAATACTCATGTCAGGGATTTTGTTCCAGAGTTTAGATGAAGCTCACAAGAAGGAGAATTTCCTCAAGAGCGAACAAGTGATGCACGTTTGGTTTGATGAGAAACCTACAAAGACAAAGCTGTTTTATTAGGAAGATTCACAGGACTTGGTTGAGGGTGTGGATGGGGGTAACAGATTGTCAGTTAAGTGGCTTCATATAGTTTCAAGCTTTAGAGTAACAGAATTAGAAATTATTTTCTAGCAAATACATATCTATATCTTGATATCTGATACGCTAACCATGAAGACTATGAGTTGAGGAATCATTTTTCGTGAAAATGATCACGTGAACAGCTGCCATACCAGCGAAACGTCAGCCACAAAAAGTGGGCCCTTTTTGCCATTAAAAAATAAAATCTCGAGTTTTCCGTGGTCAATCTTTTTTAGATTGTGTAATACGAAAGTTTGTTTGGTTAACTATTACGTGACTGCGTTTTATTAAAATCGTGACTACAGAAACCAATATATTAAAGAAATATCGATTATCGGTTTTCTGTGGTCCAACAATTTTTTAAATTGCGTCAGTTGCCTTATCATTCTACGAAGAAAAAACTGTAGAAATTTAAAGATATTTGACCACGTAGTTTTCGAGTTTTTATTTCTTTTAATAACGCATGCGACCGACTTTCCGTGACGTCATCAAAATAAAAGTTCTTCAAGTTCTGGTACTGCGCATGCTCGTGGACAACCTAGCGCGCGCGAACAAAAATTATATGGAGCCACCTTAATTACGTATACTACTTTTTACGCCAATTTTCCAGTTAACTTTTAATATTTTTGAACGGTGAGCTTGCAATGATAGAGACCTTTTTTTAACACCTAGGACAATTATTAACGTCTCCATCATTGCAAGCTCACTGTTTGTCTCGCTTCAATGCAAAGGCACGGCTACCTTTCAAGATGGCGCAGGGAACTGTGAAGGGGACTATTGTCAGTTAACGGTCAATATTTCTATATGCGCTGACAATAAGTTCTCCCCTCCCACCTTTCTCTCTCCCCTTTAACGATTGCGCATTCAAAATGTATGRAAAAAAAACGTCATATTAGCAAAATTTGATTTGAGTCGGACCTCCGTAATCCGGATAAAAGGTCAGTTCCAATAAGAAAGGCTTGTGCTTCGTGTACAAAATAATACACGTCTCTATGACGTCCGCGCTTTAGAGGTGACTGTATTATTGAGGTTTGACGATCCGTATAAAGTCATTAATATTTTTTTAGTAATTACAATTTATCAACATTTTAATAATTTTGAAAATGATTAAATAATATTCAAAATATAATATTATAATATTAATATTAATATCCCAATAATATTCCTCGAAAAAATTTTTTAGTAATTAA